GGGGAAGCCAGTTCCCCATATTTAATTATCAAATGACACTGAGCAAAACAGCTTTTGAAAATATTCCCCATATTTCTTTTCTGTAAGAGGCAGCTTTACACACAACTTAATTAAATAAGCAAGAGAGAAAATTGTTACTGCACCAAGAATACAGCTTTTTAACAACAAAATACATAAAGCAAAGGTCTAAAAGGAAATGCACCAAAACAACAGCAGCAGTGTTATAGGAGTGTAAGTAATTCTTAATATAGCTTCCAAAATTTTTTAAATGTTGACATAATAGCTTTTTTAATGTTTCAACAATGAAAAAGATCAAATAGATAAGATTCCATCATTAATACACCTTATGTTAATCTTAAAGCTGAGCAGTGTAACACAAAACCATTCCATGAGGTAAGACAAGAATTAGTCCCTAAAGTAAAGTGCTTTACCAAGATCAAATATAGCAATCACATCATTCTTATAACACAAGAACCTCAGAAATGGAAGGCAGCAACTAAGCTAAAAAAGAGAAAACCTTTACCTGAAAACATCAGAGCAAACTTCTTCCCAGGTGAGAGCACTCAACAAGGGAGGTCAAGCTGAACAGCAAAGTCAAACAAACACAATGACAGGGTCTTGAAGGTTACATTTCTGCTACAAATAAGGAATATAAATTTAATGGTAAAAAGACCAAGATCAATCAACCAGAAATATATCTGGGTTAGAAAAATGGCAATCAACAAATGATGCTAGAACTGCATATCAACATGTAAAAGAATGAAAATGAACACCCTTCCTTACACTATAGGCAAAAATTAACTCAAAATGGATCACAGACCTTAATGTAAAGATAAAATTATACAACTCAGGAAAAAAACAAGAGGAAATCTTCATAATCTTGGGTAAAGCAAAGGCTTCCTAGATACAACACCAAAAGCACAAGCAAAAAAATAAAAACTAGATATACTGGACTTACATCAAAATTTAACTTTTGTGCAACATGAAAAAACAAACCAAAAGAATGGAAGAAAGTATTTGCAAATCCTATTCCTGGTAAGAGACTTATATCCAGAATATATAAAGAGCTCTTACAACTCAATAATAAAAAGACAACCCAAGTAAAAACTGAGCAAAGGATCTCAATAGACATTGCTCCAAAAAAGATAAATAAATAAGCACATGGGCTTCCCTGGTGGCGCAGTGGCTGAGAGTCTGCCTGCCAGTGCAGGGGACACAGGTTCGTGCCCCGGTCCGGGAGGATCCCACGTGCCGCGGAGCGGCTGGGCCCGTGAGCCATGGCTGCTGGGCCTGCGCGTCCGGAGCCTGTGCTCTGCAACGGGAGAGGCCACAACAGTGAGAGGCCGCATACCGCAATAATAATAATAATAATAATAAGCACATGAAAACATTAACCATTAGGGAAATGCAAATCAAAACGACAGTGAGACGCAACTTCGTATCCACTAGGATGGCTAAAATAAAAAAGATACTAACAAGTGCTGACAAGGATATGAAGAAACTGGAACACTTACACATTGCTGGCAGGAATGCAAAATGGTACAGACATTTTGTTAAACAGTTTGGCAGTTCCTCAAAATGTTGTATGATTCCATTTATACAAAGTGAACAGAATAGGCAAACCCATAAAGACAGAAAGTAGTGACTGCCTTGGGAAGGGGGACAGAATGAAGAGTGAGTGCTAATGGGTATGGGGTTTCTTTTGGGGGTGATGAAAATGTTCTAAAATTAGACTGTGGTGACTGTTACACAACTCTGTGAATACACTAAAAAAACACTGAATTGTATAGTTTAAATGGGTGAACTGTACGGGATATGAATTATATCCCAATAAAGCTACTGTTTTAAAGGCAATGTATTTCACTGTTAAATTTAAAAGTCTGTTTTAAAATCTTAAATAGCAATTAAAACTGAATGTTAATTGCTAGCACCCAGAGAGCAAAGTGAGGAAATGGCTTATTCTGAATAACTGATGTGAAAGACTAGAGATATGTAAACGTGATTTGAAAAATGAAAATATGAAGCTATTGTTCATGAGTGATTTGTGATCACTATTTTAGTATTAGCACTACAAGGCAAGAATCAATATTATTTTAAAAACAAGACATGCCCTAACATCTTATGGGCCTCTTTCCTCATCTGCAAAATCAGGACTTGTAGTTAACAAAATAATTTTTGAGATGAAGACAGAGAAGAAAGAGATGGCTGCTTTCCCAAAAGAATTTGCTAGGCAACAGCCTCTATATGCATGGATAAGCTTGGGACTTTCAGAATTACAGTAAGTAAGGAAAGGCACTCCTTATGATACATGGGAATCAACTAACATTGCATTTACTGTTCAAGCTTAAATAAGGTTAGTTATATAATGAAGAAGTCAAGCCACTGTCGCTCCTCAAACAAAAAGGGATAAAACTGGAAGAATAATTTGGTACCACAAATTATTATTATCTAGTTCCTCTTCACTTACAAAACCTTTCTCAGGAACAGCTAAGAACCCGGTGCCTTAAAAATGCTACCTCAGAAGAAACAGGAAAGACTATGAAGAGGGATAGAGTTTGAGATTTACAGTTAAGAGTAAAGTTGGGGAAGAGAGCCTACTGCCTTTATCAAACCTGTTTAATAACTGTGATGGAAAACCAGGAGATAATGATTATGGAAGTGCACCCAGGGTAAAGCATGAGATGTGAAACATCAAGTCTGTGCATGCTGCTGCCTCTGAATGGAATAAGAAAGAAAGATGAGATCATCCCCTGTGAATATGGGAAGAACAAGCTAGACTAAAGACAAAGACAGTGTATGTTACTTGTATTATAGGATGTTCTAGTAATTGAATCTTGGGTCTGATAGTAAGATTTAGGGTTATCCACCAAAGACCAGACGAGGCCAAAAATGAAAAGCCCCTAATAATGATAAAAGGGAGTCAGCAAAAGCAACTAAAAGTAGTAGGATAGTGCAGCGGTTTTCAAAACTTTTTTTTTTACCATGTCCCCTTAGGACAAAAGATCCCTAATCCATATACCCCAACAAAACCTGACTTTCCAGTGAAAAAAGAACTCAGTGATAACAATGAGGCGAATCTGCGGGAGAATGGGTAACATATTTTAAACATAATATGTATACTCTTCAGACAAGATAATGGAAAATTACAGGCCAAAATTCAGTTGAACAAATATGCATTACTATTCAGTGGAGAGCTAACATAATAAATCACAACAAACTAAATTGATAACACTAAATTAAGTCATTTATCCTATAAACCAAGAACGACAGCAATTAAAAACCGCAACCAACTCAAGACAACATTAATGGTGTTCTGATGAAGAATCCTTCCTAAAAACTCTGGTAATCCCAACTGTTCCAGCAGGAGCTTTGCTTGGCTGCCAACTATATAGCTCAGCAGCCAAATTTCTTAGCAGAACGCTGAAACAGCGTCCTCAGTAACTCTAATAACATTTTGTTTCATGAAAACCAAATATTAATAACCATTAATAATATACATAGAATATCAGTAAGTAGTCCTTAGTTTTTATAAAAGTAAAGACAATGAAATGAGGGTCATTCACCCCTAAGAACTCGAGAAAATGTAAAAAGAGAGGAGCATGACGGTCATGATCATAAGGCAGTAAGGAACAAAAAGCAAACTACTAAGGATGGTCATGTCCCATGTCCAGGGATGGCACTGGTAAAACTGTGCTAACAATATGCCCTGGAGAAGGAAGCTGTGCGGGTGGAAATGAGGAGTCTAGTCTCCAGCCTGCCCCTCCTTCAAACACTTTCATGAGGCAACTCTCCCCATGAAAAAACAAAGCAGTGAGTAATAACTTTTTTGAGGGGAGGAACAGCGACCCAAGACTGTACAAGGTGGGTAAGATAATTCTCTCTGTTGGCTGCATGGAGACCAGAAGGTGCCACAGGAAGGACGAAGGTAAGCTAGTTCTAGGGCACTAATAAACTGAGGGGAAAGAAAAAGGTAGTTTGAAATTGCGCTTGATGAGTAATTAACATAAAGTACTGGTAGATGGTGATCCCCAAATGAGGCAGAAAAACAGAGATTAAGAATGCAGACTCTGGATCCAGAATGCGTGAGCAGGAATCACGACTCTCCTAATTTATTTTCTCTGTGACCCTGGGCAAGTCACTTAACCTCTCTGTGCTTCATCTGTAAAAGGAGGGCAATAATAGTACCTTCCTAATAGGGCTGTTGTGCGGTTTGAATAAGTTATACTTGTAAATCGCTTAATAAATGTCTTGCACTTTACATAGTAAGTGGTACCTAAGTTTTGTTAAATAAGTTGAGGTGGGTGGCGGCTTGTTTTGACAACTCCAAATAAAATGGGGGTGTGTGGGCAAAGTAATGGTCACAGGGAACGGAGGGGAGATAACGTCTCTTCGGTGAGGAGTACCAGGAGGCTGCACACTTGGGGAGGTCGTCCTCCTGACAAGGCTCAGCGAGCACCCGCTCACAGGAGACGCTGAAGGAAACTTCCCTCCTTCCAGGCCTAGGATTTTCAAGAACTCGATTCTGAGAAGTGGTTGTGATTCTGAGGCAAGAGTTTAATTTCCGAGCAAGAGACCGTGGGGTGAAGTCTGTTTTGCCTGAAGAGCAGGTCTTGGGTCTAGGGCAGGACGGGGTTTGAGTCGGAGACAGAAGGGTGATGTCCTCAGGGTGAAAGCTCTGCTAAAAGCCACCACCTGCCGGGCGCGCTCCCGCTGCCCGCGCCGGTCTAGCCTCGGAGGGAGAACGACGGCTGCCCCAGCCCCAAGGGAGGCAGAGCCTACAGAGTAACGGGGCTGCCGGCGCCGACGGTCGGGAAGGGACCCCACGGCGGCACTGCGGAGGGGAACCCGCCTCACCGAGGGTGGAGGTCGCTCGCCTGGCTCTCCGAAGGGAGGGGCCGGCGCTGGCCCTGCGGGTGGCCGGCCCGGCGCACAGCCCGGAGGAAGCCTGCCCCCGGATCCCGCCCGTGCCCGCCCATCTGTGGCCCCAGTACCCAGGGTACCTGAGCGTGGGCCCGATGCAGGCCGTGTCGGTGCTCTCGATCTCTCGAAGGATCCGCTCGTGCTCCGCCGCTGTCTCCAGGCTCTCCGCCTCCGCCATCTTACCCCGCTCCATAGACTGGGGGTGCCCGGCAGCGCGTGCCCTCCTTCAGCTCGGCTCACCTTTCGCTCGCTCGCGCTCTCTCTCTCTCCCTCTCTCTCTCCCTCTCTCTCGCTCTCTCTCTCTCTCCTCTCTCTCACCCCCGTCTCCAGAGCCTCCTGAGCCTCCTGCTACCCGCAGAACGACCCCTCCCTCACATGCGGCACGCCCCCTAGCGTCCCCACGTCCGCAGACGTTCCGCGCAATGCCCTCTGGGATTGTAGTTCTCTGGGATATGGGGTTCCACACGTTATTCATTGAATCGGCAAACGTGTTAAAAGCTCCGCTCTAAGGCAGGAACAGTTAACGACTTCATATGCAACGGAGATTAAGTCCGGCAATGGCACTAAACCTACAAATTCTTAAGACCCTTGCCTCAAAGTGCAAAAGCCTCTATAGGCACGAATATTAAGAAAGGACGAGCTAGGTTTCTGCGGACAGCGATCTTACAAGTTAACAGGGAGGAAAAGCTCAAAACTAAGAAACCCGAAACTAAGAGATAAGGCATAATGTACCTGTAAGCCAGTTCAGAGAATCGAGCACAGTGATCACTTCTGGCTGCGAAGGATTCATTGAGAGACTAAGCCTGAACATTTTTTAAAGATGTGATTGGAAGGTGTGAGGAGCACCCAGAAGGCCAACAAAAACTTCATTTGCACTGGTGTGTAGAGAAGTAGTAGCAAGAGATGGGGCTGGAAAAGCATCTTGGAAAAGGAATACTGGGAAGAGAAATTTGTACTTTATTCTAATGGCTCCACTGGTCCAACAACCAACTGCATCAAAAGCACCTTGGATCCTTTTTTTTAATACGGACCAAATGTCCTACATATGGACATTCTTATCCAGGCATCTGCATTTCATAAATTCACCAGATTAGAATTTTTAAATCATATTTATTGATCACTGCTTGAGTTTTAAAATATAACACAATGACTGGGAATCCACTGAAGGTTTTTAAGAAGAGTAGTGACACAAACCAAATCTTGGCCTTAGGAAACTTGATCTAAAGCAAGTGTGCAAGGTGGACAGAAATAGAAAATTTGGAGACAGGAAAATGCTATAGAAAATGTTAAGGCCTAAACCAGGGAAGTGGCAATGAGAATGAAAAAGAATGGACAAGTAGGAAAAGCATTGTAAAAGCAGAATTGGCATGATTTACAAGGTATGGGGAAGGAGGATGTTTGGTATTACTCCAAGGTTTGGAGCAGAGTAACCGGAAGAATGGTGCCATCAACAAAAAAAGGCATGTAAGAACCAAACTGGAAGTTGAGGCTAAATAATTTATGCCATGGATAATTATGCAATCATCAAGGAGAAAGAGAAAAGACTCTATATCCAGATATGAAACTGTCTTCAAATTGTAGGGTAGAGTGAAAAAAAATGCATGAAACAGTATATAGAGCATGTTTTCATTTAAAAAAAAAATTCAAGCAACCTAAGTGTCCATCAACAGATGAATGGATAAAGAAGATGTGGTACACACACACACACACACACACACACACACACACACACAAAATGGAATACTACTCAGCCATAAAAAAGAATGAAATGTTGCCATTAGCAACAACATGGATGATGGACCTGGAGGGTATTATGCTAAGTGCAATAAGTCAGACAGAGAAAGACAAATATTGTATGATATCACTTATATGTGGAATCTAAAAAAATAAAATAACTAGTGAATACAAGAAAAAAGAAACAGACTCACAGATATAGAGAACTAACTAGTGGTTACAAGTTGGGAGAGGGATGTGGGGAGGGGCAAGATGGGGGAGGGGATTAAGAGGTACAAACTACTATGTATAAAATGAATAAGATACAAGGATATACTGTACAGCACAGGGAATATAACCAATATTTTATAATAACTATAAATGGGATATAACCTTTAAAAATTGTGAATCACTTTGTTGTACACCTGAAACTTATATAATATGATACATCAACTATACTTCAGGAAAAAGAGAAAAGGAGATAAACAGCAAGGTCATACTGTATAGCACAGAGGACTATATTCAATATCCTATGATAAACCATAATGGAAAAGAATATTTAAAAAAAGAATGTAGGAGCTTCCCTGGTGGCTCAGTGGTTGGGAGTCTGCCTGCCAATGCAGGGGACATGGGTTCGAGCCCTGGCCCGGGAGGATCCCACATGCCGCGGAGCAGCTGAGCCCGTGTGCCACAGCTACTGAGCCTCCACTCTAGAGCCCGCGAGCCACAACTGCTGAGCCCACGTGCCACAACTACTGAAGCCTGCACGCCTGGGGCCTGTGCTCCACAGCAGGAGAGGCCGCAACAGTGAGAGGCCCGCACACCACAACGAAGAGTGGCCCCCACTCGCCACAACTAGAGGAAACCCACGAACAGCAACGAGTACCCAACACAGCCATAAATAAATAAATAAATAAATTTTTTTTAAAAAAAGAATGTATATATGCTGTACAGCAGTAATTAACACAACATTGTAAATCAACTATATTTCAAGGAAAAAATGCAAGTAGAATTGATTGTAGAATCTTTTTGTTTGGTTGAATAAAAAACTGAACAGATATATTTGTTGAAAAAAAAAAGAAAAAACCAAAAAGAATACTGTATCGCATAATTGAAAGTAGCTAATTGACTAGATCTTAAAAATTCTCACCACAAGAAAAAAAAAGTTCTGTAACTACGTATGGTGACGGATATTAACTACACTTATTTCACAACATATACAAATATCAAATCACTATGTTGTACACCAGAAATTACTAATGTTGTATGTCATTTATACCTCAATTAAAAAATCACGGGACTTGCCTGGTGGTCCAGAGATTAAGACTCCACACTCCCAATGCAGGGGGCCCGGGTTCGATCCCTGGTCAAGGAACTAGATCCCGCATGCCTCAACTAAGAGCCCACATGCCGCAACTAAAGATCCTGCATGCCACAACTAAAGATCCCACTCGCCACAATGAAGATCCCAAGTGCCACAACTAAGACCCAGGGCAGCCAAATAAATAAATAAATTTTTTTTTTTTTTAAATCACAAAGAAAATAGTAGTGGCAGCCAAGAGAGAGATTGGGAGGAAGGGTCCTGAAGTAGGAGGAAGATAATTTTTACTATGTATGCACTTTGGGAATTCTTTCCCTCATGTATGTACTGCTTTTTTTAAAAAAAATTGTAGTTATTAATTAAAAACACATTTTAAAAATAAACCAGTAGTGAGGAGAATGGGTTACAAGTCCTGGTTTGCAAGGAACTGAGCAAGTGGCTAAACCTGTCTGTTTCTAGATAATCTCTGGCTGTCCTCACCTTGTTTCATTACTCATGCTTAAACAATTTCAGACAGACATAGGAAAGGTAGGGAGAGTATGGAGCCTTCCGTATTTTTAAAGACCTCTTGAAGTATATGAGAGAAGATCCCTTCAATCACCAATTTTAGCGTCTCACTTGGCAAAAAGCTTTTTGTATGTACATCACAGGAAGAAGACGAGTATGTAGACCAGAAATGTATAGTAGTGGTTAAACTAGCTTCTGCCACTGTCAGCAGGGGGTTTTTTTAGCCCCCTCAGAAGCCAGAGATCTCACATGACTTCTTACCAGCAAGGGTGTGTGAGTTTGGAGTGACTAGTGTAGGAAACTCGAATGAAGATGGCCTAACATGAATGCCCTCTAAATAGAATGTCAGGTCAGTGTGGAACGACCAGAAGAGTACTAGACTAAGACTTGGGGCCCTTTAGTTCAGTTCCAGTTTAGCAGTTAAAATGTATTGGGCACTTTCTGGTGCCAAGCACAATACAGAAAGTAAGCGCTTCATATTCACCATTAAGTCCTTACAACAATCCTTTGCTATAGATATTATATATCTCATTTTACACATGAGAAAGCTGAGAGATTAGGTAATACCTCAAGCCTCACAGTGTAAGTGATCACACTGATATTCAAACTCAAGTCAATCTCATTCCAAACTCTATTTCCTGACCATTCAACCGTACTGTCCCACCCACCCCCTCCATTGCCACGCATTTATTGTGTGAACTTAAGCAAATCATTCTGCCTCTCTGCATCTGCTTCCACACTAGTATAATGGATTGTATCATTTCTCAGACCCCTTCCTGATCACTTTGAAGCCCTCTTCAAAGAACTACCTCTTTCTCCTTATTCACTGTAAATGAACAGATTTTTCGTCTCCTGCCTCAGTAGATTTACAGCCTCTCAATACTCTTCACTGCCATGTTTAAACTGTTCTTCTGACCCCCTAATTTCTCAGCCTTCCTGATGAAGTAGGGCACCAGGTTGAGCTGTGGTCATGCTCCTCAGAAATTTAACCACTTGGCTCACAGATTCCCTATCCACCTCATTCTCTGCCATCATCCTGAGGCACTTCAACATCAACATGGATAACCCACCCAATACCTTGACTTCATGGATCCCAACTATGCCAACCATGTTCCTCGTGCCACATAGGCAATGCATTCACAGCCTCACTTTTTCCTTTACATTCTATCAACATTGCTCTATCGGCAAGACTACAAGCTCTGAAATTCCTCTCTGTGCCCCCTTTCCATCCACCTCTTCCTCTGCCTAATTTCCATGGGGCCTACACATTACTCTAATCCTTGTCTTCATTTCTGATTTTTATAAAATCTGTTGGCATTTTCCCCTTCTATCCTGAATTTTCTTCTATCCAAGCTTCCAATTCAGAGAGATCTGAGTTTGATCCCTGGCTTCTCCATTAATCAGCAGGTGAGTTTGAGTAAGTTATGTGGCTTCCGTAAGCTACAGTTTTCTCAGGTATAAAATGGAGTTTATAATATCTACCTTAGGCATTTGTAAGTATTAAGAATACTTAATGTAAGGGGCCCAGAACAGGGCTTGGCAGAATAAATGTTAGAAGCTACTCACCCCATGTTTCCATACTTCCATGAGCCACCAATTTGACTAAACCATTTCTAAATCTTTAGCTTCCTTTAACATCTTGATCTTCATCATACCAACACTGCCAATTCCTCCCCCTTCTACTGTCATGGGGACAAAAGGTTGTGACCATGGCAACTAGCACCACAGCACATTTGTGTTGCTCAGTATCATCTGGACCCTCAAGGCTGTTCAACCATCCTTTGACTTCTATTTCCGCTCACAGCACCCATTTATAATCCTTTCCTCTCTACTTAAAATC